TAATAATAATCATAATGACAATATAATAATTATAGATAATAGAAGAAGAGGAACATGAACACTCGGAAGCAAATAATCTAGTAAGGCCTCATAGAGACAAGACTGTGCACAGAATCTTCTTCAGTCACAAAGAGGATCATGGCTTGTCAACAGTTGACCTTGTCATTTCTAAGGTCTAGTGGGTTAAAGTCTGAGACTGAGGATCCCTTATGGCATGCTAAGATGGTGTCTTTAATACCTTGATATACCATAGTAGGGTTATGAGTGTGGATGTACCTGATGCCAACTGCAGAGCATGTCGACAGGTGCCAGAGATGCTTATGCATCTCTTGTCAGCGTGTCACATAATAATAATCATAATGACAATATAATAATTATAGATAATAGAAGAAGAGGCACATGAACACTCGGAAGCAAATAATCTATTAAGGCCTCATAGAGACCAGACTGTGCACAGAATCTTCTTCAGTCACAAAGAGGATCATGGCTTGTCAACAGTTGACCTTGTCATTTCTAAGGCCTAGTGGGTTAAAGTCTGAGACTGAGGGATCCCTTATGGCATGCTAAGATGGTGTCTTTAATACCTTGTTATACCGTAGTAGGGTTATGGGTGTGGATGTACCTGATGCCAACTGCAGAGCATGTCGACAGGTGCCAGAGATGCTTATGCATGTCTTGTCAGCGTGTCACATAATAATAATCATAATGACAATATAATAATTATAGATAATAGAAGAAGAGGCACAAGAACACTCGGAAGCAAATAATCTATTAAGGCCTCATAGAGACAAGACTGTGCACAGAATCTTCTTCAGTCACAAAGAGGATCATGGCTTGTCAACAGTAGACCTTGTCATTTCTAAGGTCTAGTGGGTTAAAGTCTGAGACTGAGGTATCCCTTATGGCATGCTAAGATGGTGTCTTTAATACCTTGATATACCATAGTAGGGTTATGGGTGTGGATGTACCTGATGCCAACTGCAGAGCATGTCGACAGGTGCCATCATGGCTTGTCAACAGTTGACTTTGTCATTTCTAAGGTCTAGTGGGTTAAAGTCTGAGACTGAGGGATCCCTTATGGCATGCTAAGATGGTGTCTTTAATACCTTGATATACCTTAGTAGGGTTATGAGTGTGGATGTACCTGATGCCAACTGCAGAGCATGTCGACAGGTGCCATCATGGCTTGTCAACAGTTGACTTTGTCATTTCTAAGGTCTAGTGGGTTAAAGTCTGAGACTGAGGGATCCCTTATGGCATGCTAAGATGGTGTCTTTAATACCTTGATATACCTTAGTAGGGTTATGAGTGTGGATGTACCTGATGCCAACTGCAGAGCATGTCGACAGGTGCCAGAGATGCTTATGCATCTCTTGTCAGCGTGTCACATAATAATAATCATAATGACAATATAATAATTATAGATAATAGAAGAAGAGGCACATGAACACTCGGAAGCAAATAATCTATTAAGGCGTCATAGAGACAAGACTGCACAGAATCTTCTTCAGTCACAAAGAGGATCATGGCTTGTCAATAGTTGACTTTGTCATTTCTAAGGTCTAGTGGGTTAAAGTCTGAGACTGAGGGATCCCTTATGGCATGCTAAGATGGTGTCTTTAATACCTTGATATACCTTAGTAGGGTTATGAGTGTGGATGTACCTGATGCCAACTGCAGAGCATGTCGACAGGTGCCATCATGGCTTGTCAACAGTTGACTTTGTCATTACTAAGGTCTAGTGGGTTAAAGTCTGAGACTGAGGGATCCCTTATGGCATGCTAAGATGGTGTCTTTAATACCTTGATATACCGTAGTAGGGTTGTGGGTGTGGATGTACCTGATGCCAACTGCAGAGCATGTCGACAGGTGCCACAGATGCTTATGCATTTCTTGTCAGCGTGTCACATAATAATAATCATAATGACAATATAATAATTATAGATAATAGAAGAAGAGGCACATGAACACTCGGAAGCAAATAATCTATTAAGGCCTCATAGAGACAAGACTGTGCACAGAATCTTCTTCAGTCACAAAGAGGATCATGGCTTGTCAACAGTTGACCTTGTCATTTCTAAGGTCTAGTGGGTTAAAGTCTGAGACTGAGGGATCCCTTATGGCATGCTAAGATGGTGTCTTTAATACCTTGATATACCATAGTAGGGTTATGGGTGTGGATGTACCTGATGCCAACTGCAGAGCATATCGACAGGTGCCAGAGATGCTTATGCATCTCTTGTCAGCGTTTAAAGTATGGTATATGCACAGCTTACATCTATCTGAACAGCATAGTTCTGTGAGCACTGTACTAGCATTTGCGGCACTCTGTTTCTGTCCTAGAATGTCATGACATGGCACACCAGACTTTCTAAGTACGTTCTTCTGAACGAAACAGCCGCTATAATATTGCAATGCGTGTAACACACCCAAAAGTGGATCTAAATAGGACAAAAAGGTAGAAACACAGTATTTTCTGAATTGTGCAAACCTCAAAAACAACTGAGACAAAATATGAGGTATAAATGAATATAATTTATCAGAGGATAGCCACGTCGCCTAGCGCTTATGAAAGACTGAAAAAATATGAATGAAAATTGTAATTTAACTGATTGAGCGGTTGTCGTGAGGCAGCTCTCATCCTCTATTATTGGCCCACCCAGTACATAATAATTTTATGATATTGTACAAGACCTGCGTAGCTTTATGTGTAGCCAATCAAAATAATTCTTTACACATATTTTATAGAGGTAAATTTGGTTAGACAAAAATCACAGAAAATAAAATACAACAAAACAAGACAATCGCATAGACTGATTTTAGCTTTTTGGTTCAGACAATAATTTTGGTCATACATCATCTTAAAGTTGAGAAATGCCTTTTTAGAGCACTCATTACAATGCTCTTCGAATCTCAATTTTTTAATTAAATACTAGATTTATTTTCATAAAACATTAAAAATATTATCTCCATTTCTTTGGCCCCAATAAAGGGACTGTACTTTTAATTGGACTCAGGCTTAAGCAGATGTTGCTTGAAGCTTTACAGAGATTGGTCAAGGTCTTTATTCATAGTCCCAACTGTAGTGTAGACTGTTTTTGAGTGTAACCAATGAACAATAACAGACCCAGAATAGAACCATGGGGAACATCCTTGGTTACTTACAATGGTGTGGAGTACTTATCAATCAACACTATGATTGCTGATGTAGGTGAGACATAATAGTGGATCATGGCTGATATAGGGTATACCTTCATGTAATCGCAGAGCACCAAGACAATTAGATCATCTTTGCCAGCATTCCATAAAATATTTATCAAATCAATGACAAATGTTTTCCTTAATTCTCTTTGAAGATGAATTATCAGGAGTATTAGGTTGAAGAGGGAAACAATAAGCCAAACATTGGAGTTTCCATAAATTCCAAGCCATCACTGAACCTACTGTAATTAACATTTTCATTACAGGTAGTTTACAGCCAAAGCAGTCTAAAAAGATGAGCAACATTCCTCTATATGTGATAACATTGCTGGGTTTCATTTGTTGAAGTTGAATTTAATAAAGAGTACCAGGCAAAAGTGATTGAAAAATATACCCAATTTGCTGTAGGGGATCACAAATTAAAAACAGATATTCTCACAAAATTCTACAGTAGCAGTGACTACAATTGCCAAAGCACTAAGGATAATTATGTGTCAATAACAAGTTTGCAATACTTCTCATTTGATTTATGTTCTCTATTATTGTAATATAAATAAGTTTTTTGAAAGCACTGTACAATTTTACTGGTAATGGACACTTTCATAGTTAAAACCAATACAGCTGAAACTGATTTAATTGAATGCAGAACTAAAAATAAAACTATCTAAGTAGATAGATATATTTTACTGTAGTGCTCCTTGTTTAGGAAAAGTAAGATAATTGCTATACTGACTTGTGCTCTAGCAACATCAGCTATTTCTTCCTAATATATGGTTCATTCTCAATGTTTTCAACAACTCCATCAAATACATGTCTGACTTCGAAAGTTATGGAGGAAGGGTCAAGGAACTATAATATTGCCTCATTTGGTCAGATCAAATTGTATTTTTTTTTACAATATTTGGAGCCACTTCCTCAGTACTCGCAAATGTTTGTCCAACAAAATTCCTAAAATGTGCACATAGCATGGCAGATTTTTCAATAGAAGCATCAGCGCTATTTTGTGGTAGTATAGAGTCCCACTCAATATTGTTTTTCTTGATAATATTTTTATCATTCTTCTTACATTCTAAGATGTTTACCTGTCTTTTCATTAACTTATATTATTCTTTTCTATCCATCACTAATTCTGTGTAATATTTTTCTGAAAACAATCCAGAGCACAAAGCACTGACAATATTTGACAGTGACAGTTGGGAAAACTGAAAAAGTATTTGTAGAAAACAAGTACATAGGTAGTTGCAACTAAAGAAGTATCCATATCATGACCTCCCCACAAAAAACTTATAGAGTAAAATTTCTCTGCTTTGGTGTTAGCCACCCACAGTTTTCTTTTGTGAGGCAGGAAGGTAGTAGAACTGTAACCTCCCAGTATGAATGGTGACAGTAATCTAGAAACAATGTTTTGTATCTGATTCTTTATATATATAATTTCCCACAATACACAAGTTAAGTTTTGAGTTGATACTACAATTATTACTAGGACTACTAACATAAAAATATTATCAAACTTTGAATTTGTAGATAATTATTTTTATAAGGGCAAAATTCTTCTGAAGTTTCCCTACAAATATTGAAATTTCATGACGATCTACCTTCTCGATTATTTGCATGGAAAACATAAAAAAGGATCCCATTTTCAATAAAATTTGTGCACAATCCATGATTGCCAGAAGTGGGTTATCAACGACATACCTCCCCATCACTTTAGCACAATCAAAACAAACGCGACACACTGGAGTATGTCGTAGCTAAGATCATAATGGAGTTTTCCAGGATAGGAGAAATGTACTACACACCTGATTTTCGAAATACTCGTTCCAGACTGGGTCAAACGTCTTTTGTTTTGTAGTGGACTGAGCTACGTGGACGTCGTCGACGTCGATGGTGACGTAGGGATCGAGAGGCTGCTCATCAGCCTTACCGAAAGCGTGCCTCTTGGAGCAATCGGTAGGCCGGAGACCCTGAGCCTCTCGCAGATTGATTCGCATCGTCCCGGTGAACATGGCTCAACGTTTGGGAGCGCTAGTGCAGCCCGCAAGGTTTCACGACAGCCCGGAGCATAGGGCCCAAGGAGCGGCCCCGAAGCACCGCGATTTAAGAAAATGAAAAATATCCCGACACTAACACCACCTCGGCCACTGCTGCAGCACCGAAATCAGCTCGATTGACAGCCGTGAGGGTCGCTCTCGTCGGCCGTCGCGCGGCGGCGCCCGAACACAAGACGCCATGGTTGCCAGATTTCCATCCAATATAGTACGTGTCCAATAGTACAGGACAAACAGGTCGGCAGGGGTATAATATCGTCGGCTTTCTTACGAAGTGCCCTAACCAACGCTTAGTAAATTTTACAGGAGAACAAGAAAATGAAATCGACGTGTTGTTGATTGAGCATTGTATGTAAAGTTTAGATATTTCCGAATTGAAAATTTAAGTGTATTAGCCTACATTCATTGTGAATCATATGCCGTTTCAATATTTGCGGTAGCTTATCAAGTTATTTTGGAAAAAAATGGAAAAAGCACGTAGGTCAGTTCGTGAGAATTTTCAGAAGATTTTTGTCAGATAGAGCTAAAATATATTTTTATTGAAGTTATAATAATAATAATAATAATAAATGGGCTTTATTTCGTACCTAAGTAAAAGTACAAAAAAGGCGAAGTGTCGCTAAGATTAGCGTTTTTCAACTTAACCTTAATGTTCTCGTTATTATACTTTTTAAGATATACAGAATTTGTTTCATTTATTTATAAGCAAAGAATCATATTTCCAGCCAAGGGGGCGATTATCGCAGAAAATTTGTTGATAGTTTAATTTTTTATGTAATGCTTGGTCTGCTGACAGCAGAGTTTATGTAAAAAGGTTCAGATCGACGTTTGAATTTTGGCTACCCCCTAAAATATTTTCCTCAATGTCCATGCCTAAAATTGATGTAGATTATGACACAAATGTTAGGTGATGAGATGAAGAAAACAACTCGAAACGTGAAAGCAATTTTTATTGAAATAAAAACTAAAAGAAAAGCAATTAACCTAAATATTATATTTTGACATATTACCAGCAAATGTTGTGATACACAAAAAAAGGCAAAATTATCAATAATTTATTTCGTTTCATGGGGCAAATTTTTCGAGAGTTTTGGAATTCTGGTAAGCGTACAAGTAACTGGTGTTTTTTGGATTTCACATAACGAAATTAAGTCTGAGTACTTCTTTTTTGTTATTTTTAAGTTGTTCTAGTTTAATATCATTTATATTATTACTATTTCTCATCAGTCTTTTTAACTCAATTATGTCATAACTAGTATCATGGTCACTAGACTTAAACAATATTTTGGTGGGCGTGTCTTTTATTACAATAAAGTCCGTTTAATATTTTGCCGTTCCTTAGTTTGTCATGTGGACAATATTCTTAAATCTTTTGAAAGTTTCTTGAAGTCAAAAAATGCATTGGGAATTACTAAATAAGGTTGACGTTTTCTGGCGAATCAAAAAACCGGATAGAGTTATGAGGGTTCAAAAAGATCTCCAACTCCCTTTATCGCAGTATGAATTGCACTGTGAGCAGAGTCTCCCTCACTTTGGCCATGATTCCACCACCGAGGAGCGTATACTAACAAGGATTATTGGACACTAAGGGACTTATCTTCATTTAGGTCTCTTCGTGGGAATCATAAATTTACCTTTGCAGATAAGACACCCAGGGGCTAATGGTGTGTTGCCCACACTAATAGATATATAGTTATGCTTCTTCGTCAGATTAACCAGCATGGAATAATACACCTAACAATGCGGGTTATCTAAATTTTTGGTATTTTGTCAGTTAGAACACTTCGTGAGAAAGGCGACGATATACGTGTCTTGAAAAGTGACAATATATTGTTTTTTTTACATTATGTAGGTTTTTCTACAAGATGTCAACTTAATACTAGCTGTTGTACACTTGATGTGCACTCGTTTCGTAACTGTAAGTGTTGTCTAAACGTAATGATGCATGAGCTATCAATGTTTGGCTCTGATGTGATGTAACATCTGCTTCAGAGATGGCATTATTGAAGATCTAAACTGTAAGTTTTATACTATAGCTGGAAAGAAACGGAAGTGCATAGGTGCATAGTGAGGATTTGTGTACGAATAATATGTGTTGATGATAATTCCATTGCTTTCTTGTCTCAAATAGACTTACTTGAGATGTATGCAAAGCTAAAAATTAGAAGCGCATCCGCTTTTTCTTATTCATCTTGGAAGTATAATATGCAAATTTGCTGATTTTTCAAAAAGAGAGGGATAAGAAAAGAGAAACCCTGCTTGGTGAAGTATATTGGAACTAACAGGTAAGAAAAAAAATGTTTATCTCTCATTTAAATTTATTTTACGATGTCAAGTAGAAAGTAAAAATCAGTGCATAGATGGAGGCAGTGCAAAAATGTTTTGTATGTGATGCGTCATTCCTAATGTTTCTGTGATGTGGCTTGATTACACACATCGCGAGCGCGGTGCTTTTCAAAGTTTTTGAACTAAAAAATCGGGTAAAATCATAATTTTTAACTTTGAACATAATCTCTCTTCAGAAAGGACAACAAATAACCCGTCTGGGACAGCTAACAGATGTATTTCACGGGTAGCTCGTTCAGTAATAATTTTCTCACACTAGTAACTATCTAGGCAGCAAGTTGACATTTTGTCTGGATTTTAACGTTTTATAGACCTTTTACTCACATAATAATGCTCCGGAAATGCATAAGCCGCAACAACTTTGTAGCCGATCGTCCTATTAGGAATAGTCTGTTGTTACCAACAAATGCAGACTAAGTAGAAAGAGCAAGCATACAATTTCTTTGTGTTTAAAATCTGGGTATGTAATCAAGATTGAAGTGCATGATACAAGTGGACTTGACATAAAAAAGTTAATTTTCTTGGCAGTTCTGTCATTAATTTCGTATCTTTAGTGTCATTTCTTAAAAGTGTGAGTGCTTGCGAATAATGGTGATGTTAGAAAGTTTCATACTGTTTGCATAATTTGCAAAGAGTGACAAGCCTAATGAAGGTAGATCTTTCCACTGGAAAGGGTGATGTTGATAAAACGTTGTCGCTTTAGTAGACAATAATAGTTACGTAAATGAGTCAAAAGTATGCACTAAAACTACGTAATTTTTGTGACAAACGATGCAATTTAAATATACAGACTTGGATCCTAAACTATGTAAATTCGTTCGTTTTTACAGATGAGAGGAAATAACTCTCTCAACACCTGTCAACTGTATATTGTGTAATTTGTGCACGCCGCGACGCCCAATGAATTCAGACTAGGTAGAAGAAGCCAATCACGGATTTGTATGTCTCCTAACTCTCATTGTACTTATGTCGTGAGGATTATAGTGCACTTGACATGAGTCAAGTGCATGAGTTTTTTCTCAGTTCTGTCATTAAATTCGTATATTACTTAGTATTATTTGTTTAATAGTGCGAGTGTTTGCAGATCCTTGTGGTGTCACACGATTCAAGACATAGTATTCTAACATAATTTGGAAATAGCGGCAAAAGTCTAATGAAAGTAGTTGTTTCCACCGGTATGTATTATTATTATAACGGTCTAAAAAGTATTTTTCGCGACTTGAGTGATGATAAAACAATAATATTGGATAAAGGTATTAAGCATATACTTAACCTTTCCTCGATTAGCGGTTTTTCAAAACGGCACGCAGCATAACTCGAACAAATATCATTATTTTGTTACCATTTCTTCCACAGAAAAAAGCATGACAATAATCACTTTTTTAGGCCGTTACTATGGTGTTAAACCCCTCAGAAGAAATAAATATAGCAAATATACACACATTTTTTAATAAGCTTATCTTTAAGTGACCTAATAAGAAGAAAACAAACTTTCTGGTAAGCTAAATCACACATGATTTTGTTACATTATACAGTATTATGTTGATGATTGCATACGTTATTCAGCCATTAGCCATTATTATGTACACCTTTGGAAGATTAGTGGAATCAGTATGCAAAAAACCTACTTCTATCATATTGTATCGCACAGCAGTGTGTGCCGATACAAGCAATATGTTGCGACTGGGCAGCTCGAGCGCTAACAATGAATGTCATATACAGAAGCCGATCTAAGGTAGTATGACGTCACGGCCGAATCTTGCCGCGCATTTTTTTATCCTTTTCATTCAGTATAGTTACAATTTCATATTATCACCCGCAAAATAACTTCCTTCTGAAGCCTCACAGCGCTTGAGACGGTTCTTACACTCCTCATACGTGATGCGGTGATTATTCAACTTCGGGAATATAAACAAGTCACAAGGACGCAAGTCAGGCGAATAGGGAGGCTGAGGAGCCACAGGGATATTTTTACTGGCCAAAAAGTCGTTTATTGACATTGGTGTATCGTAATGCAACACCCAGTTGTTCTTGATCTGATGAACGGTGGTGTCAGTCAAATTTAACTCTTCCCCGATCATTCTTACTGTCAGCCGACGACCTGAACTCACAAGATCCCGGATTCTGTCGATATTTTCATCGTTTCTTGAAGATTAAGGCCTTCCGCTTCGTGGTTCATCTTCAATCGAATCTCTCCCTGAAAATGCCTTAAGCCACCGAAAAACCTAGGCTCTTGAGAAAACACAATCTCTGTAGGCCTGTTTAACAGTACTTTCCGTTGCACTGTGCCCAAGTCTGATACCACACCGTTGCTTGAAATTGATGTCATTAATTTTTAGGACACAATAAAAACTCGCTACGGGCAACCAAATGACTCGAGCGAGTTTAAACTTGTACTGACGGAGGATCACATGTTTCCCTGTCCCCCATCCAATCCTGGCGCCTCCGGTGTTGCTAGATCGAACGCTACGTCGCCAGTCTTGTCACTTAATTTAGAGACCTCGTACAGCACCCAACACAAAAAATATAAATTCCGTAAGTTTCAAGTTAACCCAATAATTCTTTCAGATTTGTCAAAGATACTAGTTATACTATTATATGAAAGTAGCAGTATTTTCGACTAGGGAACATCCTAATTTCCCTAAGCAAGCTTAACTTCGTAAGCGGTACAGTTAAGCCAATCTGTTTACTCATTTCATATGACATTGCAATGTAACCGCCAAAAACCGTGAAAACAACTGTACTATTTATCTC